TACTATCAAACTCTGAATACCTAACGGCCAGGCCCCAGGGGCAGTAGACGGTGACCCGGACGCAGCGCGCGGAAACGACCGACCGACGGCACCTGGTATTTGTCACCTCGATGTTAGACACGGGTCGGGCACCTCGTGCCAGACATGGGCTCGCCACCTCGTGTCAGACATGGGTCGGCCACCTCGTGTCAGACATGGGTTCGCCACCTCAGACATGGGTCGGTCACCCTGTGTCAGACATGGGTCGGTCACCTCATGTCAGACACGGGTTGGTCAAAGTCTGTCTGAGGGGTCGCTCACGGTCGGTGTCAGCGAACCATGACCGGCACCGTGACGGGGCGGCCACCCTGCCTGACCTGACCGCGGTCACCCGGTCTGTGGTATGCAGCGCCGTGGGTGCCCTCCCATCTACGAGCACACGCTGTGGCACGCAGGAGCTCGGGACCGGAGTGGTTGGAGTGCTACCGACCGTTCCCACGCGGTGCTCGGACGCGGCTGGTGGTGGAGCGGAAAACCGGAACTGACCTGACCGGGTCCTGCGGTGGTGTAGTTTGACAGATGTCTGGAGCAGTGTGCTACTGTGGCTAGGCTGTGTAGTTAGTTGTATCTCTGGAGAATGGAGGCTAATAGCAGGGATGTGAAAGATGGCATGTATGATGTTGTAGGTTGAGGCATTACCTTCGTTTTACACGATCACACACAATGCCTGACATCTCGGATTAGAGACTTCGATTTCAAGCATGCGAAATACTAGGAGGAAACATGCGGTGTGCAGTGTGCACTAAGCGCTGCTGAAATTATACATTATGAATGGGACGCCCAGGCTCATAATCACCCTGTTTTCTACAGATGTGATAACACATGCCTTATGCATAATTCATCAGTTTATACCATTAGTTCGTCCTGAGTCGCCTGGCTGGCTACCGTCCGACGTTTAACATTCATACAATCCACCTCAGTCGCAAACACCATGCCCCGTAGGCGTAATCACAAAACATTAACAACTCATCGATGACGGTAGAAATCGAAAACCAGACTAATGAAAATCGGAGGAAAACCGCAAGTTCAAAGGGCAAGAGAAAGGGGCACGGTCAATGTTCGCAAAACATTTACCAAACGATTAGGCCCTAGGGTAGGTCGCTTCCATACGACCCTGCCTTCCGACCATCGCCTCTGGTCAGAATCTTACGCCGATTATAGGGAAGCGCTATTCTTATTCAAAAAATATATTTGCGCGACTTGATTGATTTATAAAGCAGGGCTGTCAGGTGCTAACCTTTCTATTATTATCTGAGCGGGATCATCAATGATAAAAACTACGGCACAGGTCCACCTCAAGAGAGGGAGACTCAGTCTATATTGAGTTAGTTCCTTTTCGGTCGCTAAAGTCGCCTATCCACGGACTTGCCAGAAAGTTCACAATTCTACTCGACTGGAGGAGCCCCATGACTGGAAAGTCATGGGGCTCCTCCCGGCCGCGGGTTGTGGGCTCGGAAAATATCACCCTCAAATATGTCGTCCCTCACAGGGCAGTCGGCCGCAGCTTTGCGGCAGCCTCTGTCGCAATGGGCTCTCTGGACTTTCTGGACTCCGGAGAATCGTGCATGACCACTCAGGAATCCGGACTCGCTCAGTTGGGTCGCGGTCCGGGCTTCCGGATCCATTAGTCTGACGGGCCATCTGGCGCCATGACCGGCTCGATCATCAGGTCAACCGTCAGCGGTCACTCGTCAGAGACGGTCAGCACTCAATAGCCAACGGTCAGCAATCTATAGTAGCCCGCAGTCAACAGTCAGCAAAGTCAAGAACTAACAGTTTGTAGTCAACAATAAATAGTGAACAGTCAACAGAAAACAGCAAACAACAGCCACCAGTCGTTACTCTGCAACAAACAATCAGCAAACCTTCAGCCCCAGCTGTCCTTCTCCTTCACTCACCAGGCACCAACATCCACCACTGTCGGTTGGGGTGTTCACTGTTCAGTGGCCCGTGAACAGACCACTCGGGGCTGCCCAATCACCGATCTCCGACCAGCCAGCGCGCCGGCCGGTCACCCTCCAACCGAGGAGAGCACGTGACCGCCAAGGTCACACCGGGCCCCGACCGAGTGCAGCAGGTGGCTGAGGCTGGACCGAGACGCACCGCGCCGGCAGGAACACCGCTGCACGGCTCGCGTCACTGACCACATAGCCACAAGAAGGTGCGGGGTGGTCATGAATCGTGATACACTGAAGGCAGCCATCTCATGGGTGGTCGCAAGTCACGAGGGAGGCGGAGGGAAGAATGAAAGTGGTTATTTTGGCAGGATTTCGAGTGTGAAATTGGAGGGTCAAAAGATCCAAATGCATCATTGGAGCGCTAAAACGAATGTGGCGAGAGTCGAGAAGTCTCGCCGGTTGCTCCTAAGACCTGTTAATTAGCACTACCAAGGCATTAACACTGAATAAGGAAACAAAGAGTAAGATAGCTCCAAGAGTTTGCTGATTTAAAGTGGTACAACAAATGATAAGCCTATGGAAGCCTTGCGCTCGGCATAACCGTACCACAGGCCAAAAGCCGATCCACGATCTCTAAATGGTTTTGTAAAGTCATTTGAGAAACGGCGATCGCCCACCGACTCGCTGACGGCGCGTTTTAACGGTCACGAGCGCTCGACTTCTCCTTTATTTGGACGCATCTTATGCCTCATCACGACGCCTATTGTCGAGAACGACTGGGCTGATATTGAGCGAGCGGGACCGGCCTGAGAAAACGCCACTTCGAGCACTCTCCAGCGTTCATATGTCCGCAAATATCAGCCGTAGCTGTGGTCTCTCCCTCTAATGGTCAGAGTCATGGCTATAAACCATCCAGTGTATTTAAAATGGGTTTTGGGATGTTCATTTTGTTTTCCGTTCCGGTTTTGTTTAAAAAAAAAAAGAAACTGTTCCGACTTTGAATGACCAAGCTTTATTTTAGTCTCTCCGTTGAATCATCTCCTTCCTTCTTTGCTAACCTGCAATTGCTTTTTGTACAGCTGAATAGACTAGCCATACTCATCGTATTCTCATCACCGTATACATCCACGATGACACTAAAATATCTAGCACCAAAGACTCGTCTATTCCACTGCCCCGGCTTCAAACCCAGTCACGACATTGGCACAGCGAGGCGAACCAGCGCTTCACGGCAGTGCAGTGGCGTTCCATTCCTGTCACCCAGTTTTCACCCCGGAACTCGCGGCGCGCCGCCCGAGGACGGAATGCACGAGCTGCACATCAGTTGTCTCACGCCTTGTGAACGGCAGACAAACCGTGAGATTGCGGAACTACAGGGAGCTCACGGCACTACCTGAGATCAAGATACTACCGTGCAGAGATCACAGCACTACCGTATCTCACGGTTCTAACTATTGCGGTGTAACGATTTGGTGATACGACAGAGCAATACCGTTGTTTTTTTTGTAGCGGGTCCATAAAATAATATTTGTTTACGACTTGTAATTGCAATATCTAGCATTGAGAAAAGACCATCGAACACTTCCTGGTTAGTTGTCCATGGACAAGGGATGTGGCCGGAATAGAGCCTCACTACACAGAGCTGGCCTCAAATACGAGTCACGGCCAATGACTCGCCGGTGGCTGTGGCTCGCGCGTGTGAGCAGTGAGAGCTGGTAAAAATACGCCACTGCTAACACTTGCGCTGCCAGTCGTGGCATTTAATTATTTGCGGTTGACGCCACACCCTTGTGAAACCGGCTCCACGCTCATACAAGGATTCGCCTACCGTACTACTGTTTCGCGCACAAATTTAATTGGCTGTAAAAATGCCGTTTTTAAACAAATGAAGTGCCTTATGCTGATCTTTTTGTTGTACGTTTTCAAACCGTGACCACTTCTCTGCAGAAAAACAATTCGTACACTATTCAAAAATTATCAAAGCGACGCGCTTCCTGTTTCTCTAATTAGAACGGTGATAATTACGGCGCCGAGTGTGCGACGTCACGCTGACGTCACAGTAGAGCAGTGACCGCTGTGTGGCCGGGGTCGCCGGTTTGTGGGCCGACCGGCCGACGACTGAGGATGTGCAGAGACGGCAGCGGACGACTTGACAAGAGAAATGCGGCGCGAATGGCCCACTCTAGCCGGGTGTAATTGCGCTAATGTTTTGTCAGCACAGTCATACGTACATCACTGTTTAATGGCGCATACACTAATGCCTTCGTACCTTCTGACAAGGAAGACTACTGCGACTGTGACCGTCTGCACCAGTTCTATTCATGTTTGCGCCTGACATCATACGGATTACCATGGATGAAGGAGAGGTTCTTTCATCATGGTATTACACTGGCCGGTTTTTCGATGCCGTCGTTAGGGAACCTCGCAAAAGTTATAGATACCAGTCAAGCGATCTTTGTTTACCGATCTCACTTGGAATGTGTGTCATTCTGTGGGTTTCTTGTTTCTACCTAAGCCGCAGTGAGTCACCTCACGATACAATGGGTCTTTTTCTAAAATTTCATTTGAATGCTGCCTGGGTGCCCGCTAAGCAGAAATTGCTGCAAAAAGACCACGGACCAACCGCCAAACCACACCACTTGCACGAAACATATCGGGACATGAATGTACTTAAAAAATACAACGAACCATAAAGAGGCGAATGAAAGCAGCGCTGAACTCTTTTGGGACCTTGACAATCTCATGCAGGTGCTGACATATTTATTCCTCAAAACAAAAGGTGTGACCTTCCTGTTCCTACCGATTATGAGACGGTCTTGACTTTTGACCACCAGTTGGCGCTCGGCGGAGTGCTCCTGACCTCTCGTCTGACCGGGTCTGTTCTGTTGCGGCTGCTCCTGCTCTCGTGGGGCTGGCGTGTCTGTTATGTTACAGCTGCTCCTGATTGCCCTCGTGTGGCCCGTGTCTGCTCCGTTATAGCTGCTCCTGCCCTCCCCTAGCCGATGTCTGTTCTGTCGCAGTTGTTCCTGCCCCCGTCTAACCCGTGTGTCTGTTCTGTTACAGTTGTTGCTGCTGACGGCGCTGTTGGCGGCGGCCGGCGCGCAGTCGCTGACCGAGTGCCTGTCCCGGCGGCCGCTACAGGACGTGTCGGGTACCTCTCTGCCGCCGCTGAGCGTGCGTCAGGTGAGCGCGCCGCAGCCGTGCGTGAAGCTGCTCTGCACCGACGAACCGCTGGTCGTCCACACAGACGGCGAGGTCACCTACGCCTCGGTCAACATCGACGACACCTCGGCCCAGGGGTCTCTGTGTATGGACGAGGTGCGAGGCTCGCGCGATGCTTATGTGCGCTCCAACCTGCCGGTGACGTTCTACCGCGCCGGCGACGTGCACCTGGTCATCCACGACTCGACGTGCCCGGCGACGCGGCTGGAGAAGCAGCGCCTGCTACTGCTGACAGCGCTCAAGGGACAGTCGGTACAGCCACTGGAGGCGTTCATCCTCTGTGACTCGGACCTGCAGGTCACTAAGCCGGCCATGCACGTGCAGATGAGCAGTCAGGAGGGGACCGTGACACACGTCACCATGTACTCGGGTCCTCAGGCGCGCGCCGCCTCCAGTGGCTTCGTACCGCAGTACGCCCGGCTCGAGATCGCTAACGACTTCGTCGTGTCCGTGCTGAGTTCGTGCGTCGGTGACCCGACCAAGATGGAGCTCATCAACAAACTTGGTGCCACGTGGCTGGGAGAAATGGACTCGTGCCTCCGGCTGCTGTGCCACTCGGGAATGGAGGAGCTGGCGCTCGGGTACTACAATTATCTGCTGTACGACAACGACAAGATGGAAGGTGAGGCGTGCTTCAAGGCGCTGCAGACCAACCAGATCGGCTCGACAGTCGACACGCCTCTCACCCAGGTGCGTGTGGTGAGCGCCGAGGGCGACTCGTGCACCGGTACCAAGATCATGGTGCTCAACCCGACCTACTCGGGAACATCCAAGAAGCTGCAGCGCTTCCTCTACTACCAGGCCTACAAGATCCACTCGTTCGACTGTCCGGAGCTCGCCGAGACCTGCCTGCAGCAGAAGCTGGCGCAGCTCGGCTACACGGGGCCGCGCATCCCCACAAAGTCTGAGTTCCCGTACCAGTGCGCCAACCTGCTCTGCGACTCCAGGGTCGGCCTCTCGCCAACCGCCTTCTCCAAGACGGCCTTCCACGTCACCGTCGAAAACGACAAGATGCGGCCACTCAACAACGTGTGCTTCAAATCGCTGAGTCGCTCCAAGGCGGGTCGACGCTCGGACTCGCAGACGGTTCGCGCTGATGTGCCCTCGCTCGGTGTCAGTGTTCTCTTCTCACTCCTCTGAGATAAATATCGGTGTCGTCCTCTTCCCACTCCTCTGAAGACAAAACGGAGACATCATCTGAAGCAGACATCAGAGTGATCTTCCTGCTCTCATGTGAAAGCGCCACGAGATTGACTTTAGAGCGCTCTTCTCATTCCTCCCGCTGAGGACGCTGCCCGAACGTCAAAGTATATGTATACTTGCTCCGCGGGTGGATTTAATATGACATTCAGCTCATCACTGCAATGGGAGCTCGGTGTTGTTGATGTTTTGTAGAATGTGATAGTGCCCATATCCTCTGTGCGTGAATTGAAGCGTGTGTAAATGTACATTGTTCATAGATTGTGTGTCACTGTGTATGCTATTGCGTAGTGTCATGTGAAAGTTATGGGCCGCTAAATGGAACTACAGGAAGAGCTTGTATGTCTTCATGTGTGAAAAATGATGCATTGGTGGTAAATAAGATGATAACTACCTACAGGCGAGGGCGTCCGTGAGAGCACTGATCGCGTGAGATCAGCCTCGTTACCCAGCCTGTCGTGAGTGCCTTACCAACCACGGGAGAGCTCTTCATTGTCTTGATTTACATGTGTACTTATATTGAATATACATCCCTCTTGATGCACTTTTTAAGTCTGCAAAGTTGTTTATTGAAGTAGTGATTAAGACGGCATCTGATAGGCCTTTTAGTTCGTTGGAGGAAAGTTTATAAACAATATAATTCATTATTACCTATCTTGATTGGTAATCAAGTTAGGTATTGTAAATTAAGTATCATTCGAGACCGTTGAAAATCCATTCATGAGCATGAATAACAAGCTGAACATTATTCCATCGTTACGTCAAACATGGGAGCAGGGAGACTAACGGTGAGTTTGAATGCTTTCCTCTAAAACTGAAATGGCCCTTAGAAATTTCTTAGTTATTCTTTCTCTCATGAGGCAAAAACACCAAATGGCTCCGTGTCACCTGGCACGGTGGCCTCAAAATATGGTTAGATCGGTTGCATGTTCAAATCCCATTTTGGTAATGTTTCCTTTGTAGCGTTTCGTGACCGGCATGCTTTCACGAGTTTCCTTGTGACCTTCCTCGTACTGTTAGTTCACGGCGGAATAAATATGCTGAAAATTACACTGAAGGAATACTTGCAGAAGAAAATACCGTAAATCGGTGGCAAACTCACGACAAACAAACATCAAAAGTCACTTTCGCCGCTCACAAGGTGTGGCCGCATGCCATCAGACAGCGCTTCACGCGCATGCTGCCGCACATCTGAAGGAACCAGACCGAGGGAGCAGAAAGCGTCTCCGCTGCCGTGCATATCACACATATGGGCAGCATGAGTGACGGCTGGGAGCGCTAAAAGCCATCAATCTGCCGCCCGCCTCATTATATAAGTGCTACAAAAATTAGACGGTAGGGCATTCACATTATTTATAGGTGCCAGTTAGGTGGCATGATTTATTACTTGCCCGGATTTCGGAAGGATAGGTAGGTATTGTGACTCAAGGCTGTCTTCATTTCCCCTTGTAGTGGCGTATAGCGTGCTGACTTGCATTTCGAGCAGAAGCAATTTGCGAAATTAGTTACACCGTTATGAAGACGAGAAGAGAACAAGGAACCGACAGAGCCATGCATCTTAACAGGTCTTTCTGCCAGCGGTGGGCCTCATTAGCTATTTCCGGATGGGTGAAACGGGTTTGCAGGACGTCTGTTGCACTGCAATGAAAAATCAAAGCATTGCTGCAAGTGCACAATGGTCGATATGCTCATACTGCCATCACCGCATATTGCCGTTAACTTATTCAAGCAACTAATTAAATGATGGAAATGACAGCCCACATTTTTTCAAACTAGACGTCACATTTGTGTTTCATCTACAGAGGTATAATCTCAAAGAAACATTCAGGCCTCAATCTCCAAAGCCCTTGTGGCCTGCGGTTAGATCAGAGACCGGTGATCTGCGTTTAACACGAGCAGACACTATAGCCCGTCTCTGGCCACGTTCATTCAGTCCGTCCTCACTGAATACCACCCAGATTAAAATCTGACCGTAATCCTGGGACGAGTGTGGCTACCGGCTCTTGAACCGGTCCATTCAGTCCGCTCCAGTAACGCGCATCACAGCACGTGGAACGCTGTCACTTAGCCGGCCAATCACCACTAGAAGACACATGCCGGGTGCGCGGAAAGAAAGGAACCGCCCAGCTCACTCCAGCTACTTGGTGCGCCAGTCAAATGTCGCTCCAGAAAAGGCCGAACGTTGGAGAACGGTCCGACATAGGCAGGGATAAATGAGCGACACGGCTGTTCAGTCCGAGAGCAGACGTGCCGGAGAGTTAATGACGCGTGGCGTGGTCGATATGTTATACATATGGCTCATCTACGTACCTAATTAACAGCCATTCAAACGCGGAAAGGTGCACCAGACCGAGCGGACCCAGTGCCGTTTCAAGAGTTGATTTAGGATTATTCGTTCACATTCAAGCATTATTCATGTTCCTTCATTTCGACCGAAGCTGCAACCTAAATAGATCGGTTCTTGCTACCCTCTGGAGGTGCCTCCTACAAGAAATCCCGCCGCATTCCCGCTATCAGTGCCCATCTTTCTCAGAACCCCTTAGCCCCTCCTCTAGTGCCGTTTTGCAGCCGCGCACGGGGGGAGGGGCGGACAGAATTGCTGCGGCCACTGAACACTACCCGGCACGGAGCCGGGGTCAGCTGCAAAGCTACCCTGATGTGGTGCAAACGGGCTCATGCAGGTCCTGCCGTCGACGGTCATGCACGCCTGTCTGCAACGTACCGCTGAGCGACTCTGCAATCGCCTGTTGCGATATAGTGCTGTGGAGGCACGAGGGGTATTGCAGTTTGTGCTATAGGTCCGCCCTGTGCATGATTTACGTAAAGTGGATATCGAGCTAAAATAAACTGCTGGGGTAAGCTTGGGATATGTGGACCCGCTTTAGCATTTAATTTATTATCTCAGAAGACTTCTCGACACGGAATGCACTTGCTAAAACAGATGCTTTTTACATATCTGTACTCGACTTAAAGGGACCCTCCCCACCTTCAAAAAAGTTTATGAATTGGCATGAAAGTGATGTCGCTCGGTTCAGAAAGAGCGCAAACGAATATCTACCAAATTTCACCGAAAAATATTCACCGGTTTTCAAGATATTAGACTTTTACTTTTGTTTACTTTTTTGGGATCTCCGCTGTTTCTAGCGACTTTATTTTAGAAGTGCGGCGTTTGCGGCAGATGTTGCGCGCAAATAGCATATACCACCGCGTGCTACAAAACGTTTTAGTCAAACATTTAAAAATCGTTAGATATTTGCGCTGACGTCACACATTCAGAGGGGCATTCCTAAGCATTAGCCCCTCTGAATCAAAATGCTGCAATTTTGAAATTCAATATTTCCGATTTAAGGCATTTCTCGATGTTGTGAGTGCCGAAACCGGTAATTGTGAGCCAGGGACCCCATTTTGGCTATCTCAACTCAAATATAATGTTAAGGTGGGAGGGTCCCTTTAAATAAACCTTCTCAGTAGTGCATATAGTGCACTATATGCACTATAGGTATAGTGCACTATATGTAGTAGTGTATATGTAGTAGTAGTAGTAGTATAGTGCACTATATGTAGTGTACCTTCTCAGTAGTGCCTTCTCAGTAGTGCATATTGATCGAACTGCAACGATTGGAAAGAACAGTGTTATTGCGTGGGCAAAACAATTTGGAAAGTTGTGGGGGCTTCATTACAGGATATCCGCTGACTGCATTAGCTCAACACAAAGACACGAAAATTCCAGCTTCATGTGCTGCTAGCCAGCTCAAGATCATGTTTTGAAACCGGGAACAAGCCTAGTTCATCTAGATATTATGTGCTGAATTTTAGCGTTTGCTAAGGATTGAAAGAAGTTGAGACGGACGGGTTGAGTGGGTACCTCTGAAATATAAGGCAACATAAACAACACGAAACACTAAATGAATGTTCGGTCATGTCGAAAATAAGGTCACCAGATCCTAAAATCTATTGCAACTCTAGTCGGTATAGCTTATATGTTGACATATCTAATGACGGCACGTAACCTGACCTTAGATGACCCATCTACAGGTGACTCCTGAAATACAACTCATATGCCATTGGCTATATATACCTAGCCGTCTAACTGAGTACGTTAAACGCGATGTTCAACAAACATTGCAACTATAGAAGCTTGCTAACTGTCAAACGTACGATGGAACTCGATTACATTTCTAGAGTTATATTACGTAAGTAAGAATAGTTGGCACTTATCCACCGCGTGACTACAATAGAGGATAAAACGGCCTCCTTACGGTAGAATAATTAGCTGCCTTATACAACAAAACTAATGACAAACTTTCATCGCTGCGTAAACACTTTCGCTTCCCCTAACGTTTAATTTGAACAATGCCGCTATTATAATAGCGGCATTGCATTGAGCTGCAGGCTATAGCCTGCAGCTCTGTTCAATTTGCTGCGCACGATATAGGTTTGCCACGTAACATTGTCACTGCACATGGCGTGCACGTTTCAAACACTTTCCTTCTGGATAACAGTCACGGAGGGGGAATAGCGATGAATCATTTCGAGTAGCCCGCTCTTCCCTGCTGACCACTCAGTCAAGATGCAGCGCAACTGGTCAGACGTAGAAACACGGCAGGGCAGTAGAAATCCAATCGTCGGTGAAACGGGCATGTGTCTTTGATGCCACAAAGGTGAATGAAGCAAGTGCTCAGTGTCTTTCCACTCTTACCTCAAGGCCCTATTGATATCTCTCTGGCTCGCTCCCATCCCTTTCTTTCTTTTTGCTCTCGCCTCTCTCTCTCTCTCTCTCTCTCTCTCTCTCTCTGCCTCTCTTTCTCTCTCTTCTCTCTCTCCTCCTCTCGCTCTCGTATCTGCTTCCTTTCT